ACTTTTTTTTTTTTTTTTTTTAAAAACTATAAAAATAAAAACTACAAAAACTACAAACCAAGCAAATAAAAAAAAATTGTAAAGACTATTATATATAATACTATCATATATTGATAGTATTGATAGTTTTTCTTAACTTTTATAAAGAATATCTCTTTGGATTTGAGACTTTAGTCTTTGCAACTTTACAGATCTTCTTTATGCACCAAGAGCTTGTTACACTCCAAAGAGAAAGGAAAAATTTAAATCGCATCATATGACCCCTTTAAGATATTATAAACACGAACATCATGATTTTCTGTAAAGCTGCTTTGCATAATGTGTATTGTGAAAAGCACTATACAAATACATTTTACTTGACTAGTACCTGCTCTATAAATGGAATCATTAAGTATGTGCAAACATTAAATATATGCAATTGATAAATTACATTAGAATGATACTAATGATGCAACATTTCCACAGGCATGCTTACATCTCTCCAGAAGAAGTTCACTGATGTCAGATCAGGTTATTGGATGCTCCTCCAACCAGTTAAATCTACAGGAAACTCATGTCAGATGCCACTGTTTGGATTCACCTGATGAAGAACAAACCAGAACAGAACAGATTTTAGATTTTTGTTTGAATAAATGCAGTGGGAAAGAATAAAGAACATAAAACAAGATGATATTGACCAGATCTGAGACTGTGGGCCAGTTCTTTACTTCCGGTACTGACCATCTGAAAGAAGCATGTGAGGACCTACAAGGAGGTTTTCCTGGAAAGACAACAGACATATTCTGTTAAAGCTTTATTGTGCAATTAGTTTGCATGAAACAATATTTCTTGATGAACTGTAAAAATGTATTTTGAAATCAGATGCAATGCATATGCAATGTTTAATATTACAACTCCAGGATATAGACCAATAACCAAATATCTATAATAATTAATTAATTAATTAATTAATAATAATAATGAATTATGCTCTATTATCATATTTTCTGCTGTAACACTGAAATGTTGTGCTTTATACATGTATCCAGCTTAAAAACCCCAGTATAGTTTATGAGGTTCAGAGAATTTTGAAAATATATACACACAATTGCTTGAAAAAACATTTTTTTGATTATTAAATTGGACTCTCTAAGGATTTTACACAGCATGTGTAAAAGTATTGGACTCTTCATTTTGTGTACTGTAATATACCAGATGTCAGTACCTCAGTGGAGAGAGAAAACTGTATTTTATTATTTCAGAGATTTATAATAAATAAAAGGTCATTATAATTTGTTTGGTTTTGTGTCTTTCTTTAGAAATATTGACAATAAGATAAACAAATATGCATTAGCAGCCATAAAATTCTGTTATTTAAATCTATTATAGTATTTATTATTTAGATTTTATATATTTTACATTTACATCTACTAAAACAGTATTATAATTAAAAGAAAATTAAATATTTAACATCTGTGGAATGCTATATTTGTGTGTGTGTGTGTGTGTGTGTGTGTGTGTATGTGTGTGTGTGTGTGTGTGTTGCTGTCAATGGGAAAAATAAAAAAAAATGTAAATGTTTTCAGTTTTCATTTTAAATTTTAATCTAATATTTAGTAAATTTGTTGTGCTTGTCGTTTTTGTGTTTTTGCTTTAAAATATTTATTTGTATTCAACTTTAAAAATAACTTTTTAAATATTTTTATTCAACTTGTTGCTGTTTTGTGTCTTGATTTAGATAGACAGGTCAGATGAACATGTATTAGCAGCAATACAATCCTGTGTTATTTTAGTATTATTTATATACTTTTTTTTTTTTTTTATTTAAAAACTATAAAAATAAAAACTACAAACTAAAAAAATCAAGCAAATAAAAAAAAATTGTAAAGACTATTATATATAATACTATCATATATTGATAGTTTTTAAAAATATATATATTTAAAATATTTCTACAAAGCTTTGTTTTTATTTCAGTTTTATATGACTGAATAATTTCAGTCCTTTAACTTATACTTTAATGTCAACACTGGTCAACACTAATACAATCAACATTGCACAGTTTGCTTTAAACAGCATCTAGTAAATGAATAAACTGATATATGTAAATAAAGTTCTAGTAAACATCCACTTACCCAGAGTGGCTTCTTACCTGATGAAATTAATTGTACTACATTCTACAATAATATGAATTACAAAGTATCTTCACTACAGTAAATGTCCAACCCAATGCCAGAACGAAAGTTCAAAGTTATCTGGTCTTTAATAATGCTCTTTAAACATTAAAGCACAAAAATGTCATCTATACAGTACAGAATTCTAGTTGGATGTTCCTTTAACATTTTTAAACATACTACTACTTGTTTCAAAATGTTCAGAGAACATATAAAGGTAAAATCATAATGTTCGTAAATGGAACATTCCCTAATGTTTAAGTTTGCATTATTGGAGTTTTGAACATTCAGAAATAACAGAAACATTACCAAAAAGTTCTTAGAACATATTTTGTTAGCTGGGGGAACAATAAGCACACAAACAACACATCAAGAAACCCTTCAAGGGAAAACCCTGTCAGAGCTAAAACTGACCAGTGAAAGTGACTCTCTGATTAACAACTTTACAATTGTAAGCAGCCATGTACAGGGATTCATATATAGAGAGATCATAATTAATGCGCTTCTACAACCCCACAGAGACTGTTTGTCAGAAATAGACTCATGTAACATGACATGCTGTAATGTGATTTAATGCCATCGGTCATGGAAGACAGTAACTGTCATAAATAAGAGCCAGGGTTCAAAGTCTACAGTGCGTCCCCTGACACCACCGTAACATTAGGACGCAACGCCCAAAATATCTCTCCAGTGACCCCAACACCAGCTGAAGTCACCCAACACGAGTCACACGCCGAGCATTACCACCGGAGACCATGGACAAAGGTAGGATCGCCTTCATGGCAGCTTTAGAAACAAATAAAAGCGCATTTTTGTGGTGCATTTGCATAATTATTGGCTTCACTTGTATATGTGTTTCAATGTAAAGTGTTATATAAATCTGATATCTGAAGCATGCAAAACAGTTTCTTTGCTTCCAAACAAACTAACAGATGATTGCATTGCAATACCTTAAAAATGTTTGTCTCAAGGCTGAAATACCGTTCAATTCTCAATACTTTCCTTCTACAATAGCCATCTGCATTGCTGATCTTGCACTATCACTCGTGACTGTGGTATTCATCCGTTTTATAATATCTACATAGCTTCATAGGTCACAGTGCTAAAGCGTGACTTCGAGCCCTTTTGCATCCGTTTCTAGCTGTGCATGATGTTCCTGTGCATTGAAAAGCATGCAAACCCATTCATTCTGATTCCTGTCATGTTGGTCAAGAATTTACGGGTCATGTGCCAAAAATAGAAACGCTTAAACAGCAGCATGTTGTGCATGTGCTTTGCCATTGAAAAAATCAAGTTCTTCCTTAGTAATTATGTCTTCTTTTCCAGCACAAATATCTAAATATTCTTAAATCAAGATACTTTTACTTGAGAAGCAAAATGACTTTAAAATGAAAAATTGTCTTTATGCTTAAAACAAGAGAAAATATCTGCCAGTGGGGTCAGAAAAATAAACTTAATTTAAAGCAAAAACAAATGTATTTTTCTGACCCCACTGGCAGACATTTTTCTTGTTTTAAGCATAAAGTCACTTCATTTTGATACATTTTTCAGAAAACAAGACTTGTTATCTGATGTCATTTTGTTACTCAAGTAAATATATATTTATGGTTGATTTAAGATTGTTTAGTTATTTATACTGAAAAACATGATGAAAATACTGAGAAGAAACATCATTTTTTGCAGTATAATTAGCACAAAACACAAATGACTACATGTCTCTTCTCTTCACAGTGGTAGAGATTGAACGCATTGATCTGGTGTGTGAGGTGAACAACACGGATCACCACACGCTGCAGAACGGTGTGGACAGTCTGATCGTGAGGAGAGGACAGCCGTTCACCATCACACTACACCTGCAACCGGGAACTCACTTTCAAAATGGGGACAATATCAACTTCATCGCCCAAACAGGTTCCTCAATCACTTCCATCCTATTCAGACTTTAAGCAACCTAACATCACGAGTAAAAGCAGCCACTGGCAATGCAACAAAGTTGGACAGGTTTAACTTTTAAACAAATGAGCACAGTAACAACCAATGGGAGTGCAGAAAGTGAAGTTAACATGATCCGCCTGGATAGAGGAGTTGAGGGGTCAGAGGTTAGCTGGTTAGTTTCAACTAACTAAAAACAGCTTTTCCATTGATGGCCGTTAAATAACTAGCCACATATTGACAATTTATTATTATATAAAAAAGACAGCATATAAATTGTAAAAATGTGTTATATCATACTAGATTTTTCAACATATATATACACACAGAAAACAAAAATGAATATTTTAATTTATTTTAATCATAATAATTATATTTTAGAGGATGTAAATGCATTATTTATTAAATATATATCCAAAGACAAAAGCACAAAAGTTAAAATTTTGCATATGCATTGTATAATAATGTAAATAATATATAAATATAACAAATCATTTATTTTAATGACATAAATGATATTTTAGTAGACGTAAATGCCATGTATATATGTATGGCATTTACATCTACTAAAATATTATTATAATTAAAAGAAAATTAAATATTTAACATCTGTAGAATGCTATATTTGTATGTGTGTGTGTGTGTATTAATTTAGGTTAATTATAATGCCGTGTGTGTGTGTGTGTGTGTGTGTGTGTATGTGTGTGGCTATATCATCATATCACATATTTGGCTGTCAATGGGAAAAATAAAAAAAGTGTAAATGTACAGTAACATGTGCAAAATAAATAAATAAATAACAACAATAATAATAATAGTACAACCACAATTCATACCTATAGGAATCCACCACTGAGGTCTAACAAGCTTGGGGATGTCAGCTGAAAAAATAATTACATTAATGAAATAGTTATGAAGCCACTGATAAATCAACATGCATGAAGGGCACTGAGTCATTGTTAATGACTTTGTTAAAATACTTACAATAAATCAGGGCTGGTTTCATTACAGGGCGTTCCATGACAGTGAAGTTACTCTTGTATTTAGAGGATTTACAGTGCTAAGAGGAACGACAGTAACGCTGCACACAGTCATCAGATCATTCACAAGTATATTATTAGAACCATGATGTAAAGGCTTCGAAACATGTGCGTCACATTTGAGATACTTGTGTTCATCCATTCATGTCTTTCTGTTGGATTTCAGGTCCCATCCCTTCGGTGGAGGCACAAACCAAAGCCAAATTCAGCCTCAGCAGATTCATCTCCAGATCGAGCTGGAGTGCCACAGCAGAGACGTCTGACAGCACTGTATCTCTGACCGTGTGCTCGCACCCAAATGCTCCTATTGGAGTCTATAAGCTGATCCTGGATCAGGGAGAAGGAGTCGGTCTGGGAGAGTTTGTCCTGCTCTTTAACCCCTGGTGCAAACGTAAGCTGTTCTGTCATTGGTGACTGATAATGAGAAACACTTAAAGGGATAGCTCACCCAAAAATGAAAATTCTGTCATTTTTGGGTGAACTATCCCTTTAAATTAACCGGAACAAACAATCAAAATGACTTGGTCTTTATGCACAAATCCTTTTTTTTTTTGCAGTCTGAACAGTGTTAAAACAGGATTTTTGCATACTTGTTTCAGTGTAAACAATCAGATTATTACGTTTTTTGTCATCCTGGGCACAATATGCATAATATATTAGACCGCCCTGCATCATATTTGCTGAATAAAATCCAACACTTGTTTCTTTACTAATGTTGGGGTACTGATTCAAAAATTATGTTTTTAAAATTATATTTTGTCATTTAAAAATAATAATAATTTGCTTATTTTGTAAAATTCTTTGACAATAAATGAAGCAATTGAACATTTAAAAAAAAATGTTTAACATTTGGCTGCTTTTGTTATTTTTCATTTTTGCATTGAAGCTGATACATACAATTTGAAAAAGCAGCAATCTTATTTAGTAAAAATATATATAAATAAATAAATAAAAAATTAATGGAGGTAATATTAGGACGTTTTGCAAACGATCAGAACTTTATAAACCTGACCACATATTTTTTAAATTATAATGTTAACTTAGACTTGATTCTAACGTTTGTAGTCGTGGCATTTCTAATACTGTTTACATTTGTGTTTTTTGTCAGTTGTAAGTCACTTTCGATCAAATTGAACAAAAAACAGGTTCAAAATTGAATATATTTTCAATCTGTGTTGGTGGTTTCAGAGGACTCAGTGTATCTGGCGAGTGAAGCTGAGAGGGAGGAATACGTCCTCTCTCAGGACGGGCTGATCTACCGCGGGATACCCAAACGTATCACAGTCTTACCATGGACTTTTGGACAGGTTCCACACCTAAAAATATCTCTAGAATTGCTTTACAGTAGCAACATGTTCATCAGAAGCTTCCTCGATTCATACATTAATTTGCCTTCTTTTAAAACAATCAAGCAGCCAATAAAACATTCAAACAGTATTCATGCCCAAAGCATCTATGCTTCACAGACATGTTTGGTTTCTGTTTCCACAGTTCGAGCCTGGCATACTGGACATCTGTCTGCAGATTTTAGATGAAAGTCCAAACTATATAAGTGACGCAGCGCTGGACTGTTCTGAAAGGAGGAACCCCGTTTATGTGACTCGAGTCCTCAGTGCCATGGTTAGTTACAGCCCTCAAATATTCCTGAAGTTCTACTAATTTTAAAAGTTATGAGTGTTCTGCTTGATTATCACCAGCTCAAATGTTATTCAGTTGAATAAATAAAAACAATTAGAATCTAAAAATTGATGTTTAGATTCAAATCTACTAACTGATTGAGCAAAACTATCTGTTTTTTTGAGACTTAAAAAAATAATCTAGTTATATATTTGCCTAGCAGCGTAATAACATTATTTTTAAATGCATTAAAGAAAATGTGAGAGTTGCTTTCTAGTGTGAAACTCACCGCCATGTTGTTTCCAGATCAACAGTCTAGGTGATAAAGGAGTTCTGGTGGGTAACTGGTCAGATGACCATGAGGACGGCGTGAAGCCCACCGTATGGAAGGACAGCTGCTCCATCCTCCAGCAGTGGAGTAATGACGGCTGCAGGGCGGTGCGTTACGGGCAGTGCTGGGTGTTCGCAGCTGTTGCCTGCACAGGTGATTCATTAACTTCTGCAATAATTATCACAAGTCAATTAACAGTCATTCAACTAATCAGCAGACAGATATTCTTCAACAGCATGGAAAACTCAATAGATTTCGGAGGTTTGTTCATTTTATTTGTCCAATGTGGTCTGTTTTCTAGTTTGGAGAATTTTAAATATAGACCAGAAATTAAAAGACTGAATATTCCACACAAGGAATCTTTATAATAACAGTTGGGGAATTCCATAAGTATCATTTTAGTAGCATTACTACACTCTAAAAAATGCTGGGTTAAATACAACCCAGTGCTGGGTAAAATAGGGACAAACCCAGCAATTGGGTTGTTTTGACCCAGCGGTTGGGTTACTACCCAGAAGGTTGGGTTAAACATTTAACCCACTCGCTGGGTCAAAACAGCCCAATTGCTGGGTTTGTCCCTATTTTACCCAGCACTGGGTTGAATTTAACCCAGCATTTTTTTTGAGTGTATTATAGTCTTTTTAAAATATTTGTATATATTCCGTTTTCATGGGTTCAGTAATTTTTGTGAGGTTTGTTTGTTTTTTTACTTTTTGTGTTTTCGTTTTTATTAGTTTTTGTTTTGATTAAATATGTCTATATAGTTTCTATATTAGTTTTAATTATTTTAGTACTTAAACTAAATGAAAATGAGAAATGTTGCCTTGGTAACTAAGTGATTAGACCTAAATGAACAATTTTTTTAATGTTTTATTTTATTTCAGTTAAAGTTTAATTTATGTCAAGTAAAGTTTTAAATGGTTTTAGTTTTAGTTAACAATAATAACCCTGTCTCATAACCTTCATTTTTTGGGAATCATGCATACTTTTTAAAGGCCCATTCCTCATTATGTCCCAATTATATAAACTGCTCCCAAACATTTTCACATATTATCTCAGATATGATGTGTTTGATTGATGTTCCAGTGTCCAGAGCTCTGGGAATCCCGTGCAGAGTCGTCACTAACTATGGATCAGCACGTGACAGCAATGGAGACCTAGTAATGGAGCGTTTCTACAACGAATTTGATGAGAACATTGCTAACGACTCTATATGGTATGCATTGTAAAGCCAAAATTAAACAAGATAAAGGTAACTGGTTAACTTTTTTATTGGCATCTTTGGTTCCATGGAAAAACCTTAGATGAAGAACATCCATCGAACCTTTCCATTGCACAATAAGTTCCTTATAGTGGGAAAAGGTTCTTCAGATTATAAAAATTTTCTTCTTTTAAGAACTGTTCGCTGAAAGGTTCTTTGTGGAACCCAAAATGGTTCTTTTATAGCACTGCTGCAAAAAAAAAACCTTTTGGAACTTTTATTATTAATAATGTAATGGAAATAAGAATAGCGTACCTTGTTCTGCCTTAGGAACTTCCATGTTTGGGTGGAGAACTGGATGACACGCCCAGACCTGGCGCTAGGGTACGAGGGTTGGCAAGCGAGCGACCCAACACCTCAACATAGGAGTGAAGGTGAGCTAATAATCAATGCCTGATAGAAGTGGAGAAGTAGAGTCAATGAAGAAGTACCTCAGTCCTGCTGTCCTTCTTCTGCCAGGCGTCTTCTGTTGCGGCCCAGCCCCCGTGAGAGCCATTAAAGAGGGCGAGCTCACTTTCAAATATGACATCCCGTTTGTGTACGCCGAGGTGAACGCTGATGTGGTGGAGTACATCAAACTGAGAGATGGAAGGGTGTTTAAGATGGGCGGATCCACTACGGAGGTTGGGAAATCCATCAGCACCAAAGCAGTGGGTCGAGATGAGAGAGAGGACATTACACACAACTACAAGTATCCAGAGGGTAGGGAGCCATTCATTCATTCATGGTTAAGGATCTAGGTTGGATGCAAATTCAATTCCCAAAAGGAAAATCCATAAACTATGATTACAACTATTATAACACTGAGCACGCCACTTCATTCTAGGATATCGTAGGAGCATCTATCCTCTTAAACTCTTATTATTTCTAAAGGCCCTAAAAAACAACAGCATGATTATATGCTGGTCCAAGTTTGTTTATGCTAGCTGGTGTATTAGCAAATTACTTATTGGTGAGGCTAGTTAAAAAGCCTGATAGAGACACCATCATCCAAAACATGACAGATTCTGGTTGTTTCAGTAGGGTAGGAAGATTAAGCATTATCTGGTACCAATATACTATATTAACATATTTCAGTGCCCCCGTCATGATAAACGCTGTTTTCTGTTCAGGTTCTGAAGAAGAGAGAAGGGTTTATGAAAAGGCAAATCATCACAACAAACTAGCACAGGCTGGAGAGGAGCCTGGTTTTCACATCAAAATTAAAGTGACCCCGGACATGCAGATCGGCTCTGATTTTGACGTCTACGCAGAGCTCAAAAACAACACCATGGTTACGAAGTCCTGTCGGGTTATGTTCTACGCCCAAGCAGTGTCTTACAATGGCAAACTTGGAGAAACCTGTGGATTGGGCGAGTTTACAGAGATGAATTTGGCTCCGACTGAAGGTGAGCCTGTTTTCTTAAGTTTTTAACTAACTGTATACTTTAGACATGCATATAAACTCTTAAAAATTTGAAAGAGGGTTTTCACAGCAATACTATAGAAGAACCATTTTTGGTTCCCAAAAGAACCATTCAGTGAACAGTTTCTAAAAGAACTATTTGTTAGTGTGAAGAACATTTTAAAAATCTAAAGAACCTTCTTCCACTATTAAGAACCTTTTGTGGAATGGAAAGCTCCATGGATGTTAAAGGTTCTTCATGGAACCATCTATGCCAATAAGAGTGTATATTCAAAAAGGTAACTGTCTCATCGTGTCTTATGTTTCAGGGAGTAAAGTAACTCTTCGATTGGAGTATGCAGAGTACAGCAAAGCCATAAATCAAGATAGGATGATCAAACTGGTGGCTTTACTCATCGATGCAGAGACAAGGGATTTCTACAGAGCAAAGAAGACCATCATACTGGATGGCCCTGAAATAATCGTCAATGTAAACCTTAACTTCTCTCTACAATTTACATTTATAGAATGCTGGCTTGACAAAATTAACTTACTGTTATTGTGAAAAATTTGGTTAGGTTTTTTTTTTTTGTATTTAAAATCCCTAAAGAGTCTGAAGTTGCTTACTGGAGTAAAACAGCCAATACATATTTAATATAAATCAATGTACTGTAAGCAAGACTCACGGCTCTAACAAGGTGTGATTCGGTCCCCCGCAGATCCTGGGTGTGCCAAAAGTGGGCCAGAACCTGGTGGCAGATTTAGCACTGCAGAATCCACTTCCGGAGCCCTTGGAGAACTGTGTGTTCACTATACATGGTGCCAACCTGACCGACGGCAAACCCATCACTCATGAGTAAGTCACCCGATCACTCCGGACCGGGGTGTGAAAATACATTCCCTCATTCCTCCTGTGGACATACCTGGTGTCATTTCAGCTCATCGCATGATCAAATTAAAAGACAGATGAAAAACTTCTTGCTTCAGTACAACATATCAGTATAAGCAACACAGTGTTGGGGAAGTTACTTTGAAATTGTAGCCTCCCAGACTACTCTGAAATTAGTTAAAACTAAAACTTAATCATAGAAAGTAGCTAGCTATGTAAGCTTTTATTTAGACATAAATTTTTACAATCAAACAGTGTTTACCTTGTAAGAGAAAAAGAGGTAAATTCACTCAACAGTAATAGCATGCTGTATTTATGCTTCTTATGCATAATCAATCAGCAATATGTGTACATTTCCTCAAATCCCTATCCATCCATCTACCTAGCAACAGAGCATCATAGCAACCACTTGGGAACATAATAATTTTGAAGCATGTACTGTCTGCTACTTATGAGAGATGACATTTAAAAGATCACATTTTAGATTTTTTTGATGTTATTTCAGATGCTTATGATACTATTGTCAGTTTAGAGTTGTGTTGTTCATTAAAACTCTAAACATTAAAAATTACAATATTTGTTAGCATGTTATGTTATATGCCGTCACATCTAGAACACCAAAACACAAAGACATTTAGTTTGACTGCAGCAGTTTTTTTTGACACTGTCAAAACATTTGCAGCTAATTTTATACAAAATATAAAATAATGAAAGTGCAAAAGTTGCATGGTTGTAACAGGTTTTTTTTTCTTAACAGGGTTGGAACAGTTGGCCCTAAAGAGTTTGTCACCGCCAAAGTGCAGTTCACACCAAAGCTGCCAGGACAAAGAAAGATACTGATAGATTTTGCCAGCGATAAACTTCACAATGTTGAGACCTATGAGAATCTTGTCATATATGAATAAATGAACTGTTTTTACTTATGCTTGTGAGGTCTTATTCTGTTAGTTCATGTGGAGTCAGACATCATTTAGAATTTTCAGCATGAAAAACATGCAAGATTTGAAAATGAAATCTCATCAAATGCCAGTTCTGCTGCAAAAATTAGTTATGAATATTTTGTACAAGGGCTGTGCAAATGAATGAAATTATAATAAAATCATGAAACGAGAAGATATGATTGTGTGCAATTAGAACCAATCAGAACGCAGCAAGCCTAAATCTAGCATGAGAACTGAACAGTATGGACTTACCATTACGACGGTGGAAGAAAGCACAGAAACAAGGAAAATGAATTCAGGGCAGTATAAGAACTTGGTGCAAGGCCCAACAATAACGACCGCCCAATGGCCCGGAAACATTCAAGCATCTTTAAACCATTCAATTTGGTAATTGCATGCTGTCTGAAATGGCTGCCTGTGTGCACAAAACATTGAATTGAGTTATTTTGCAACATTTTGCACTATTTACATTCAATTTTAAATGAATGAAAAAGAGTTGAGAAAGAAAAGGCATAGGCCTATGTATCCGTATATTGGACCAGTGCAATAGGTCTTAAAGTGACAGCAGCCTAATAAACCTGTTGCTGTCTGTGTTATTAATGTCAATCAAACAACAAAATAAAAAGAGAAGTACTCACTGCTCTTAACCGAATAACTTTCGCAAGGATTAAAAACGTTTTCTCTTTAATGTTTGAACTTTAAATTAGTCAAGATAGTAGTGTTCGCTGTGGCATCAAAATTGGGATCGAGAGTTGTGAAATTTCACTGCCATCTAAAATGCTGTTGTCATAAAACAAGTGAAATGCTACGCAACTGTTTCATATACTGTATGTGGTCAAGCAGAATACTGTATTTATGAATGCAAAGTAAGGAAATATTGTTTCGAAATCAAAAATCACAACATTTGTCCATATCTGTTTCGCACTGTTCTGACTATAATGTAAATTCATAACTTATTTTCTTCTACACTAATCTCTTCCTCCAATTTTCATTGTTTTCTTATAGATTAAAAAATGGTGACGTGGGACCAAACAAACACTTCAACATGCACACCATTGATTTCCTCAGCGAACTCCAGCTCGTGCTACGTTATACCCACCTATTTTATCGTCGTCTCTCTCAGCATCAACATGGTTCTCAGTCTACCGGCAAACTGTTACATCCTGTGGCTGAGTGTGAAAGAGATGATTCAGGGACAGTCGACTGAAATCTTCATCTTCAATGCGGCACTAGTTGAGGTCGTCTTCTGCTCTTCTTATGTTTTTATCATAGAGCAGTATTTCTTTAATTGTACTCATTGCAAGTTTGGCATATACTTTCCTGGTCTGTTGCCGTTAGTCGGTCGTCCTCTGTTTCAGAGCTGCACTTGTGTGGAGCGTTACGTAGGGGTTCTCCATCCTGTGACCTCCTTAAAGCTCAAACCCATGAAATACAGAATCGCGTTATCCATCATCGGATGGATTCTGATAGTTATCTCAAGCGTTATGGTTTCAGTGAACATCATTGAACTTCATCAATTAATTTTGCCAGAACTGCTTGTTTTTTTAAGCATCAAAGTGTTCAGCTGCTTGATGGTCCTGAAGGCTCTGAAGCGACCTGGACCTGGTGACGACTTCAAGAGGAAAGACAGTACGAACCAAGACAAACTCAAGGCTTTTCGGATTATTCGGATTGTACTGGCATCTGCAGTGTACGGCCCTATGATTATTTCTCTTGTGCTTTATTATCTTATAGATTTAAAGAGGTTTCTTTTGTCCTGGTCTGGGGCCTTGTGCCTTGGGCTCATGACAGGGTTTGTGCATCCTTTCCTCTATCTCAAAAGAGTTGGAAAACTCCCCTTTTGCTAAAGGTACTTCCCATATGTTGGTGTCTCAAAAAGCATTAGACAAACAAATACTGCTTTTCTTTTGAGAAATATTAGATGTGATTTAACACAAAGTTAAAGAGATAGTTCATCCAAAAATTTGATTTCTTGCCAACTTCATGTCATTCCAAACCTGGATTTCTTTCTTCTGTGTAACACACAAATACACACACACATACACACACACAAAACAGATATTTTGAAGAACACTGGGGTCTAAACAACACAACTGACTTTTACAATAGATAATTTTAGACAGAAAGAAACATATACAGATTTGAAATGACATGAGGTTGAGTAAATGATAGAATTTTAAATTGGTGGTTGATTGCGATTTCACTTTTTTTAACGTAACGTTAAACATTAACGTTAGTGTGAAATGTTGCTGTTTGAGCATAAACAATATCTGCAAAGTTATGGCATTGAAAGTTCAATGCAAACGGAGATATCGTCTTTTAAAATTCTGGCAGTTTAATACAAAAACGGCTCGTAGGAACTACAACGAGTTACTTCCCGGGTTCGTGACATCACAAACCCAGTCAAACCCCGCCCCCCGGAACATGCAGCAAAGGGGGCGAGGCCATGCTGCGCTGCTTTAGAGAAGAGGAAGAAAACTAGGAGTGCACGTAAAAATCTATTCATATATGAATCGCGATTCTGTCTTCTAACGATTCTAATGGATTCACAAGTTTCAAAATTACATTGATTTATTTGAGGCGCCCGCCACAATATCAAAACTCACCGCCACAAATAGATTTTCCTAAAGGCTTTGACTTCGTTGAATAAACATGAGCACTGCATGTGTCTGCACATGTCAAAGTCGAAACCCGGTGCGGGTGTTTTTATATCACTGTATTTCTGAAGGAAACTTTCCTGCTGATTACAGAACCTGCATTACTATCAAAATGCGCATGACAATCGCAATTTGAATGTCGGATTGATGAAATGAACGCTGTTATTAGAGTAGTTAATCGTTAGCATAAGCGCGGATAATGCTAATATAATGAGCATATGATTTAAGTTTCTTTATTAACTATTTAATGCTCCTATCACTTTTATTAGGGTAAAAAAAAAAAACAGGAGGACATGATGATATTTACTATTTTTACACACCAGAGGCTTTTAAATGAATTGTGAATCTAAAATATGTGTGTTAGAGAATGTACAAATGGTTAACATTGTTTGTGTCATATCAGTCAGAAGTTCTGGGCTTTTTTTTCACGCTCTGCATCTCTCTCTCTCTCGCTCTCATTCAGATCATCAGCTCAGCTCGGTTCCATTTATACACTTATTTTCACATAGCTATGAGAAGCGTTATACATGGACATGTGTGCGGTTGCTGTGCTGTATTAAAGCTTTAATCAAAAAGCTAACAGAAGCAGTAGCATTTACAAATAACAGCGTATCTAAAAGTATGAGACAACAATAATCAAAAACATACCATTAAAAGCCGTGCTTGCACAGGTTCTGCACAATCCTCTTCACTAATATCCTCTGCGTCTCAATCGGGCTCAAACTGATAAGCAATATTGACGATGCTATTGTTTACAATACAACCGGAGCACGTGCTGCTGAGGAGTGGTGCGGGACGTTTAGACGCGCACTAGAGGCGGTTTAGCCAATCACAACACACTGTACTAGCTAACCAATCTGAGCCCATCACGTATTTCTGAGGGAGGGGCTTCATAAAACCAGGAAAGGATCAGCGCGTTTATGGGAGAAGGGACAAAGCGGTGTTGAATAAAGGTAAATTATGTGAAAAATAATGTGTTTTTTTTAAACGAAGCATTAACACATGTTAGACTGCACTCCATAAACACAATCAAGCCTACAAAAAACAGTCAACCACCCCTTTAATTTTGGGGAGAATATCCCATTTAATCCACTTGCAAAAGCCTGTCTGGTAGTAGCGTATAAAAGATGTAGCAGATCATGTAGAGAAGATGTAGTACTTTGAGTCATAAAGGACCTGAACATACTGTTTTCTGAATACCAGTAACATGTAGCACATTATATGTTCATTATGCATATTATATTTAGATTTCTTAAATAAGTACTAAAATATATCAATAAAGAGAACCATTTAATGAACATGTGCCTCTTACTCAGAAGATCTGCTTTCACATCAAGCAAATGCCAAATGAAATCATCCTGCATTTGGGCTGATTGATTCACATGAGTTTGGGCTTGTATGTAATGCTCCAATTGAAGTCAGACCCCTTAAAAGAACCAACATGCAATGAAACCAAAAGATTAGAGAGTTCAGGTTTCTGCACAATTGACATAGTTTCCAGTCATTTGGTTTGGTGTACTTGTATGTTTTATCGATTATGGTCTACGGTCACAGCTGTGTCAATAAAAAATGTGTTTCATCCTAGAAAATCATCATGCAATAACATTTTAATGTCACAACCTGAATAGTGTATACCTCTCAACCCAATGTCTGCGGTTTCACCTGTGCATTTAAACATTTACCATCTAGAATTTATGAAAGAGCAATCTGCATTGAAATGGCATTCAATGAATCAGAAGACGGGTGCAGTCATGCGCACCTGTTATCTGCAATAACCCCCAAATCCCATTCACATTTGGACATATTCAAACCTGCCATATTATGATCACTTACAAAACACACAAGAACCAATGCATTTGGCATCACTAAATACAAATATGTTGTGGCATCATAGCCATTATATTATAATGTAAATATTACTGGACATAAACCTAAAATGCCCCCACAAACTGTCTCCAAAAAATTACTTCCCAAAAGTTGTCCCGTTGGGCTTCCTGTAATGTCACTGATTCATTGATTATTTTTTAACATAGTTCACTTTAGCAGACTGTTTAAGTGCTACTAGAAAAACACTGTCGATAGATTTATCAAAGTTTTACTAATGTAATGGCATCGTGTCTTAATTTTAAAAAAAAAATTTTTTTTCAAAACGTGGTCAGTCTGTCTTAAGCTGTGTTACATCCAGATGTTATAAGAACAGAATATTTTATAGACATAACTCATAGCAATCTAGGCACCCTGCTGAAAAAACAACAACAACAGAAACCATCAAAAATTCGAATGAAATTATAATGGTTTCCACTACAA